CAAAGAGGGATATGGTAACACCAAGGACCCGGAGCTAGATGTTGCGCATCCAGAAGGACAGGTTGTGGTAGGGAAGTCATAGCTGATAGAATTCGTGTTAATGCCGGACAATCATTCGGCACAGGCCTACCCAGGATAGTAGTGACACGGCCATCTCGTACATCTCCCCTAACGGCCAACAGACATAATGGGTGGGCTGCCGGGTGGATATGACGCAATATTGCCAGTAATACCCGAGTCCACATGGGGTTAGTTTCCAACATACCAGCCATACCAAGGATTGCACGACAGGACAAACAGGCAAATCGTGCACGCAGATGTTCGTGCAAAGGAATAAGACCGAAACCTCCAATGGCAGGAGGAAACGGCATGTATGCAACTCCCACACCCGGGGCCCGTCTTCGTTCAGCATTGTCCCGCACAGATGGCGGTTGACGCCTGTCAATAACGGCCGCACAGTCTCCCAGCAGGTTATTCATCGAGGTGTTGCTAGGTGCCCCCATAAACTCCAAGTGGTACAGGACTCTACTAATGCTATAACCTGATACCGCAAAAGCTCGACCAAAAGCTGATAAATGCAAAAGCTCGACCAAAAGCTGATAAAGCCCTTGAGCCCTCGGCTCGTACTAGGGTGGTTTGCAGGTACGGGGAACGCACCCACGACCATGTAACAACAACAACAACAATATAAATAAATGATAGAAATGCAAAAGGTTTGACGGAAGGCGGAGTGATGGCGAAGAACGGGGGGCCCATGTGGAGACAAGGCCCTTGTTAAACGTCCTATTAGCCCGCAAAAGTTATAGGCTGCCCCGGACCAGCTTTAAGCATTGTTAACTTTGAGCGCGGAAAATTTCGTGACTTCTTTTTTATAATATCACCCGGTCTTTCCTTTGCTTTCCGTCTATTACCTTGACTGCTTGCCGACTTTCGCCGTTGACCAATACGGAAATGTCGCAGAACCAGTCGCCCTCGCCGGTTCCGTCTGAGAACTTTCCTACTTCACTGCACAATGCCTTAATGGCAACCATTCAACAGCCCTTGCAGAGTCCGCTGCCCCGACTGTTCAGCGTTGCCGATGTCCATGCTGCTACCCAGGCCGCTCAGCAGCAGGAAATGGCTCAACGCCTTCATAGCCAGGGCTTAGGAATGCAATGGTCCCAAACGCCGCTATCCCAGGTCAATGCGTTGCTTGCTTGCAATGTTGTTGTTTCCATCTCGCGCGCCATGCCGACCGCCGTGCGTTCTCTTCTCTGCGGGCCCCAGCTCCACGGATGTCACACTGACCATTTACGCCGCTCTCCCCTTTCCTGCACCCCCTCGTTCTCCAGATGCCCTTCGGCCACGCCGGCTTCAACGTGTTTAACTCCCAGCCCGGCATCTTCAACGCCCAGCCGGGTGTGCAGCTTCCCCCCGGCCAGCTGTTGCCGACGTTCGTCATGGGCGTCGCTCCCCCTACAACCTCTAAGGCATCCAAGAAAGCGGCCAAGGCCAAGGGCGCCAAGGCCTCCAGGCCCAGCGTGGCGGTTCCCCCCGCCATGGATGGCCAGCTTCCGCAGCTCCAGGCGCTCCTCGATAGAAAGAAGTTGAAGTGCATCGAAGATGTCCGAAATGCGGTAGGGTTGGCTACTTGTGGCTCCATGCGGTACCACCCCATTAGCAACCACCTCCTGCACCCAGGGCAAGCCTTCTTCTGCCGTGACTCCACCCAACTGCAGACTCTGGCCACTGCTGGGGATGTTTGCAGGCCCATGTGCATTATCCTCACCAGCACATGAGAAATCCACATCCAGCCTGGGCGGTCTCAAAGACCTCTGCAAAGAGTCATAGATGCTTCCCTGTGCCTGTACACCGTTGCTGGAGGTGGTAGCATGCGCCCCAGCAGGTGTTTGCGTACCAGCAAGCACCGCTTCAAGGCCCAGACTGGATGGTGTCGTGGCTGCCTGTAACAAGCCCTGGCCGCTTCCATGTGCCTGTACACCGTTGCTGGAGGTGGTAGCATGCGCCCCAGCAGGTGTTTGTGTACCAGCAAGCACCGCTTCAAGGCCCAGACTGAAGACCGGTGCTTCACTGCAGGATGCCACTAACGCCAGCAGCAGCAGGCGCAATTGGCACGTTGCAGA